TAATATAAAAAATATTAAAAATTGATTTTAGACAAATTTATGTATTTTAATATCATGTGAACATTCTATTATATGAACAGTATACAGGGTGTCTCGATCAGTATTGACAGAACCATGGATGGATTCGGAGATCGATAAGTACGACGCAATTAAAAAAAAATTGTTGGCCTTTTGACCTTGAAATTCAAGATCAAGGTCAATTTTGGGGCATCCTTCTTTAGTTCAATTCTTACCAGATCGAGTGTACTCAATCCCAAATCCCATCAAAACCCAAATCATCTTATGGTAGTATAATTTTTTAATCTCTACGGTTGTGCGGTCAATACTGGGACACCTTGTAAAATTATAATTTCTTATACTCGCAAATTACATCGTGTATAACAATTGAAACCAGTCTGAGTTGCCACGTTGGAACGTTTAAGCTCTAATCTCGCGAGACTTTCAATCACGTCGACGCTTTTAGTTTTTCAACCGTTCCGCGAAAAAGTTTTCCCTCATTCACACTACATGAAACATTTGGGTTACGTCGCTAATATAACCCGACCGTCCCGGCTATTTTTTGCTCGTAAATTGTATAGAGGGAAACCACTGAAACAGATATTCGGGAAGTTCCCTCGAACCGTCCATCCGGAATTGCAAAATATGTAATATGGACAGTTTACAACTCGCATTCCAGTAGAGAGATTCAAGCGAATGATAAGAGAAAACATAGTTTAGGGACGATCGCTGGTACGAAAGGGTGAAAAGTGTTACATTGATTCGGTGGCCTCGGGGCGAATTTTCCGACCGGTCGGTCGCTCGTCTTCGGTTAAAAGTACACGAACTTCCTAAGTGGCTGTCGCCACTAAAACTGCTTGTTCCTTTCAGCCGTTCCCCTTCTAAGAATTAAACGTGCCGCGTTCAATCCCCTATTTACTATCTTCTATGTCCCCTGAAACTCGAATTTACTGCAAGAGCTTAAGTATTTATAAACTTTTTATACGCTTTTAAAATATTTAAATTTTTTTTTAAATTATTTAAAAATTATAACTGCCATTGTATGGGTTACAAGGTGAACCATGCCTATTTATAAACCGGTAGTTCAAGAACTAAAATAAATAAAATAGATAAATAAAATAGTGCACATCAGACGATGTAATAATTTAACATTCACACTAGTATTATCCGTTCATTACTTATCTTCAAACAGTAAAACACTGACTTGCAGGGTATTTTTATCGTTCATACGATGCGGTTTTTTAAGCGATTCAGTAATTTCACTGTATATCTAAAGCAATGTTCACAAATTTTTGTATTTTCGCCTGTACTTATTATTAATATATATTCCTAACTTCCAATCATTTTAGTACATCTTTAATTTGAGAGTTGTTACCTGATTTCGTAAACAAGATCAATTTGAAAGGTGAATATTATCGTTAATGTAGAAAAAAATTTCTACTTTCTTATTTCATAAAATATGTAGACGTAACGTGCATAAATATTCAGAAATGTTTTACGTAATGATTAATCAATATCATTATTACTATCTCAGTTTGTGCAACATAAATTACCTTCGTGTCCATTTTTGTCTCGTCTATTATTGTCTCCGTAGATTAACAAAATATACCGCATAAAAATGCAAATTTTTTGATAAAATCGTTTACGTCATCGCTTGCTATACATAACGATACTAATTATATGTGTCGTATATCGTTCAAGAATGTCATGAATAGTATCAATAATTACTCTGTTATGTAAACAGAGTAACTGTGTGTGTGAGTAAAGGAAGAAACTAGGAATAGATAACGTGAGTGTCACTTGTGCGGATCGGAATCATCGGATGATGTGAGAGTGAGTCTCACAGAGCATGCAATGGAAAGTACCTTATACGTTTAAGAGTTATCTCATTCCCGGAATTACCACGGACCTACCGGACAAATGAGGTCTGAAAAAGCAACACTCAGCTGTTGCAGCCGTGATAAGTGTAGTTAAAGATTAGATGAGGCATGGCCAAGTACATGTGCCCCACTGTAGCTGTTCTCCCTACATCGTGCAGTAGGCCCAGGAAGCCCTCACATTATTTCAGTATGTTACATGCGTGCATCATACACACTATTAACCTTAGAGCATATACTACATGGAGGAAGCATGCCTAGTTAAAAAGTGTAGATAACGGTGAGAGAGAGAGAGATGATGGTTTGGGTACCGTTCGGACTGCGTGCCTCACTCCGGCTACCTAATGTGTTAATTCTCGTAAACACATTCGAAGTGAACGTTTCATAGTGAATGGTACACGGAAAAAAGACGATCGTCGAAAATCGTTAGTGCAGAACCTTGAACCTTTTTTATGGCAATGTGATTGTAATAATAATTATCAGAATATCTCGAAATAAACATAGTTGTTACTTGTGACAGGTATTTTATTTTATAATGCTTTCAAGCGAACAATTCTGATAACAATATCTCTCATTTGCAATTTTGATGATTCAATTACCTTTAATTCATTCATAATAGGTGAAATATAGCGGTACAAATTTCAAGGTGAAGACACGTGTGTTATCATTTCCGACACTACCCTGGTGTATTCCGCCGACGAATACGGAAGCTGAATGGTGTACCTGGTTCAACAAACGGAAAAGCGTATATGAAATTTGGTCTCAGACAATAAAACAAAATTCTTTTTATAAAACAATTGTGGAATCTTAAATAAATGTCTTCGAACTTGGATTAAGAAAAGAATTAGTGTTTTTTCTTTTTTTTTAAAAAAACGTTCAAACGAGAAAAAGGAAAATGGAACAGTTGAATAGGACTGTCATATGTAAAAGGATAAATAGTAGCAGAGTCAAAGAATAGATACCGATTGTGCAACAAGTAAAATCGAAAAGTTCGAATTTATCAACGAGTGCCGGGCATGCAGCCAGCTGCGTAATCTTCCCTTCTCAAATATACTGAACTTCGTTCATACGCGTTTAGTATTTTTATAAATAAATTGTTCCTTTCTAAGAAAAAGAAGTTCAAACGAGAAAAAGGAAAATGGAACAGTTGAGAGTAGTGTTCTATTTGCTATTGGCAATCTCCGTGCAGGCGATCGACGCCTCTAGGATCTTATGTGTGTTCCCGTACAGCGGAAGAAGCCATTATCAAATGTTCGAGGTGATCTGTCGAGGGTTGGCTGAAAGAGGACATCGAATCGATATGATCGGGCATTTCCCGACGAAGAATTCGATCGCCAATTATACGGACATTATCGATTTAAGCGAGGGTATCAAGAGCGTGATGAACAGCTTCAGTTTCGAGAGCGGGAAGCATTTGCAAAATTCAATCACTTACTACATGGCTACGAAGTTCGGCGGCGCTCTCTGCGACTTGATGGGCACTGAGAAGATGCAGAAATTCATTAAAAACCCGCCTAACGATCCGCCGTACGATCTTGTGATCACTGAGGTGAATAATAAAACTTCGTTTACACGCCGCGAGATCTCTTTCGATTATTATCCAAGAGGTAAATTACCTCTTACGCAATTCTTGAATGTGTCATTAAAGATGAGACTCAATTCTTGTACCGTTCAATCCATTGCACAATAGAAAGTCGATTTCCGGTTTTGAGTAACACTTCCCTAAGGAATAGAGAGTAAATAATAGAGAATTAACGATTGAATCGTAATTCTTCATTGCACATCACATATTATATCTAAAAAAAAAATTATTTCGTTAAGTCCAATATTAGAAAAGTTATTCAATTTCGACATGAATATTTATGGACTTCATTCTATGACTTCTGGGAAGTATTTAATTCCAGAGTTTAGTCAAATGCTTTACGATCTGAAATTATGAATAATAATGACGTTATACTCTTACGTAGAAAATATACAAATGTTCTAAGAGCCGGGGTATAGTACTAGCCCATATATTATCCCCCATTACAAATTAAATATTTACTGAACTGCAAAAATATGAAAAGGAACCAGATATTGTAACCGTTTGTTTTTAAAGGAATTCAGAATTTGATAGCACCTAGAAAGTTTCAGGTTTACATTGTGCTGATAGCATCTAAAAATTTTTCATTCTTTATCTTATGCATGACTCTGCACTTTTGGAGACTACTTATTTCCTACTTGATTTATGACATGTCTTACATATCTCATATATTCACAATTAAAAATCAATCATTCAAACGAGTTTTCCTCGTAATTAGTTCAGGTATCCGATGTTCTACTGTAACGTTCAAATAATCATATAACGAAACTACGGATTATACATACGTATTTACAAGAAAATTGAATATGCAAAAATGATAAATGTCACGTACAATGTATATGAAATTTCAGAATATCAACACGTGAATATATCAATATTTGAGTGGCATAATAATTATTCACGTAACGTCTACTTATCTTTTAAACTGATACCATAAATGTTTTTATTACATAAAGAGACGCAGTCTACATATAACAATACAATTAATGTTAGAATCACTGATTTAAATATAATATAAATATAAATTTAATCTTCAGATCCATTTATATTACATTATTTGCTTCTTTTACACTATTAATTTGTTTGTCATTTCCATTAGTATTTTGGATCACCTTGCTACATAGGATTTGGTAAACTTTTAAATGTACCAGTAGTCCTGGGAATATCCTTCATGCACTTGCCGTACGTCGACAATTTCATAGCGAATCCCTTCAGCTTCGCATTCTTCTCGAACTTCTACACCGACGAACCCGTCATCGAAACGTTTACCGATCGCTTGTGGAACTTCTTCGTCAATTATTGGGAAATGCAGAAATTTTACTACTACACATCCGATCAGACCGAGAAAATGAAAAAGTATCTTGGTTTAAGCGACATCCCCGATGTTAGAGAACTAGAGAAAACCGTCTCCCTGGCCCTAGTCAATTCGCATTACAGCTATCACGGAATTAAGCCTATCACGCCAGCCGTTGTCGAAGTTGGAGGATTGCATGTCATTGATAGAGAGGAGAAAATAAGCCCGGTAAGAATTAAATAATCATTATTAACATTTCTCTCACGGTTTAGACCAAACGAACAAATGAACATTTAAAACAGTAGAAATTGAATAATTGTATCTTTTAAAACGAATAGTAAGATAAAAGGATTTTGTTTTACAAAGGATTGTCGTTTTCCTACAACAGGAACTGAAAAATTGGCTGGACTCAGCGGACCACGGATTAGTATACTTCACGTTAGGCTCGTTGATGGCCATTGAAACCCTACCAAGGGAGGCCCTGCTAGCGTTTTACGCATCGTTCGCAAAAATCGCACCGGTTAAGGTTCTAGTGAAATGTTCGAACACTACCAAACTGCCTCCCGGTTTACCGAGCAACGTGATGACGCTACCCTGGATCCAACAGATTGCTGTATTGAGTAAGCGAAAAAACGTTCCTACGTATCCTGAAATTCTCAGTTTGCGAGCAGAAAAGTTTTTAATCTATTTTTGCATGATGCTCCTTAAAATTAAAATTTCTTGGACCGTCTCTCTTTATACGTCTCAAAGGAAATTAAATGAAATGTCATCGCTGAGGTGCCGTTGTTTAATTTACCGGATAAAACAGGGCGGAATTAAAAAATCGTCCGACGTATTTCTCGCAGGGCATAAAAATACACGGGTATTCATAACGCACGGCGGCCTTATGGGAACCCAGGAGGCACTCTACTACGGAATTCCCATGATAGGGATACCTGTGTTCTATGACCAGACAAAGAACGTGAGGATAATGATCAACAAAAACATGGCCTGGATGCTGAACCACGAAAATATCAACGAAGAGACTGTGGACGCAGCCTTGAACGCTCTTCTCAAGGATCCCAAATACAGGTGACGATTCTTAGATTCAATACATGTATAGTTTCATTCTAATATCACGTTATAAATTACAGAAAAAGAGATATTAAAAGAACTAATGATTACTTTTAGGGAATCTGCGAAAAGGAATTCTAGAATGTTTAGGGATCGGCCAATGAGCGCAAAAGAGACGGCGATGTACTGGATTGAATATGTGATCAGAAATGGACCGGATAGTCTGAGATCACCCGCTGTGGATTTACCCTGGTGGAAACGGAAGATGCTCGACGTGTTCGCCTTTTTAATAGTCTGCTTCGTTCTCGCTATTACCGTTTCAGTACTCCTTCTGGGAATTTTACTCAAGGCTTTTTCTAAATATAAACGTGACAATGAAATGGAGAAGAAAGTGAAATAAGAGACGAACAAAATTCACGTCCTTTTTCAAAATGCACTTACAAAAATGGCGAAGTTCATAAAGTCTCTCTTTCCGGAGACGTATCACGTTGTATTAAATTAAAATAAACTGGATATAGTGTCACGTATTAGATATGTAATTTATATTAATAACAATTTGATAAATGTGTAATGATAAAAATTTCGAGCCAGTGAATTTTACAGTTAAATATCTTCTATCTATCTATCTATCTATGTTCAAATTTGACGTCAGTAAAATTTGAAAATTATTCAAAGACATAACCAGAAGTTATGATACTAGAAACACACTCAATGAGTGGCTCACAAAAGTATTCGAACGCTACTACATTATTTGATATTAATATTTTGTTGGACCATCTTTAGGAGTAATGATGTGCTTCAATCGACGTTCCGTACTATAAACCAATGATTTTGTAAAAGTATACTCAATGGAATTCCATACTTCTATAATTTTGCCTGTCCCTGGAGCAGCATGGCCAGACAGACAGGCCATCTGGCAAATCGAACTTTATACTATCTAATATTAAGTAAGATTCGTTCCTAACCGTTTAAATATGTATATCAGAGTCCAATGGTAATTAACAGGTAGGAACATCTTGTTGTTGGACAATTTACATATTATCAACGTGCAATTCACTCTCAATGACAACGCCAATGACAACGGGCGTTCGTCAAACTAATACTTACGCGTTCATAGTAATATTTGCTCATGCATGTTATTTATCGTTAATATTTTACAACCAATTAAAAATTAACGCGCAAGATCTACTGTACAATTTTACTAGAACTTCTAAAAGACTTAAAAGAACGAGAAAGATGAGATGTTGCTAATGGGATAAGAATCAATCTATAAAATTATTGAGAGTTTCTAAGAACGAATTGTTAAAATATTACGCTTGAACAAAACGTTCTGAGAGTTAGACAAGGATAAATAGATATCAGATAAGTAAGAATAGAAATAACATTTTACTACACGATAAAATTATCGTCGTGAATTAACTTTTAATACATTATAATCATTCATTATAATGTTTATCGCTCTTGACATGATCAGATTAGTAGTTAACTCGTTCCGTGCTCGTCAGACAATTTAAAGTACAACTTGGAAATATATTGTGCTACGCAATGCATTCTACATAATCGTAGAAACGAATTTGCAAGTAACACGTTCTATGTACATCATCGACAGTTACGACCAATACTGCAGGTCAATGATTAACAGTTCTTCGGTGCATATAGTTCGTGGATCAGTGAGAAATTCTTTTAAACAATAAAAAAAATATGAAATGTTAAAAAATAGAGAATATGAATTAACGCGTAAATTATTTATCTGACTTAGTGAATAGATAAAAAATTAGGACTGTCATATGTAAAAGGATAAATAGTAGCAGAGTCAAAGAATAGATACCGATTGTGCAACAAGTAAAATCGAAAAGTTCGAATTTATCAACGAGTGCCGGGCATGCAGCCAGCTGCGTAATCTTCCCTTCTCAAATATACTGAACTTCGTTCATACGCGTTTAGTATTTTTATAAATAAATTGTTCCTTTCTAAGAAAAAGAAGTTCAAACGAGAAAAAGGAAAATGGAACAGTTGAGAGTAGTGTTCTATTTGCTATTGGCAATCTCCGTGCAGGCGATCGACGCCTCTAGGATCTTATGTGTGTTCCCGTACAGCGGAAGAAGCCATTATCAAATGTTTGAGGTGATCTGTCGAGGGTTGGCCGAAAGAGGACATCGAATCGATATGATCGGGCATTTCCCGACGAAGAATTCGATCGCCAATTATACGGACATTATCGATTTAAGCAAGGATGCCAAGAGCGTGGTGAATAGCCTCACTGTGGACTTCGCGAAGCATATCGGACTATGGGTCACTTACTACCAATCTACGAAATTTGGTAGTGCCCTATGCGACTTGATGGGCACTGAGGACATGCAGAAATTCATTAAAAACCCACCTAACGATCCGCCGTACGATCTTGTGATCACTGAGGTGAATAACATTTCGTTCACACGCCCCGAAATCTATTTTGATTATCGAAGATCCAACTTCTCTCTTACACAACATTCTTGTACCGATCAATACATTGCACAGTAGAAAGTCGATTTCCGGTTTTGCGTAACACTTTCCTAAGAAATAGAGAGTAAATCACTTGTGCTTGTGAGTCTCGTGATACGACGATATCGAATAATTCGTAAGGCATTTTGTTACATGATAAAAATGATTAAACAGATGTTACAGTCAGTCAAAATAGTATCGGCACACTTTTTAAAACAGAATAACTTTTTTAATATTGGAATTAAAACACCACAATTTTAATAATAATATTTTGGGATCTTAGATATAGTTTACTATGTAATGTGCAAGTGAACGTTGCGTTTTTTGATTATTTTATTACGGTCTCCAACAACAATTTAAAACATCTCGTTTGTAGATCTAAGTTATGTACGAAGTTTTATCAAAATCGGTCAATGTCGTTCTGAGCCACAAACGATTAGATATTTTAAACATCGCAGTCCTACATGACCTTCGGTCTAAAACTAATGTAAATTGAAGAATTTTAGTATAATAAATTATTATTTATTGTGTCTAACTTTTGTAAGTTATAACTTATAAACTGATATCCTAAACGTTTTATATTCTATAAAGAGATACAGTCTACATATATATAACAATACAAATTATGTTATGATTTAATTATAATATAAATATAAATTGAATATTCACATCCATTTATTTTATATTGTTTGCTTACTTTACATTATTAATTTTTTTGTCATTTTCATTAGTATTTCGGATCACCCTGCTACTTAGGTTTTGGTACGCTTTTAAATGCACCAGTAGTGGTGGGAATATCCTTCATGCACATGCCGTACGTCGACGATTTCATGGCAAATCCCTTCAGCTACGCATCCTTTTCGAACTTATACACCGACAAGCCCGTCATCGAAACGTTTACCGATCGCTTGTGGAACTTCATCGTCAATTATTGGGAAATGCAGAAATTTTACTCCTACACGTCCAATCAGAACGAGATAATGAAGAAGTATCTTGGTTTAAGCGACATCCCCGATGTTAGAGAACTAGAGAAAACCGTCTCTCTGGCCCTAGTCAATTCGCATTACAGCTATCACGGAATTAAGCCTATCACGCCAGCCGTTGTCGAAGTTGGAGGATTACATATTATTGATAGAGATCAGAAAATAAGCTCGGTAAGGATTAAATAATTATTATTATCATTTCTCTCACGTTTTAGGCGAAACGAATAAATGCTCCCCATTCTTTTATTTTTTACTTTAAGATACCATCTTTACGTTTTTTTAGCATATAATATATTGCGTAATATTACATACCAATTCGTGGATTTTTCAAAATTTGCACTCTTAAGTGATGGCTGGAACTGCTACTTTTTAACTTTTCATGATCCGATCACGTTCGTTATCAGTCACGGTGATTTTTCAGTGATTCGTGATTTTCGTGATTGCTGCTGATTCTTTGAAAATTTGCCATTTGCACGCCTCACATGAACACTTAAAACGATAGAAATTTAATAATTCTATCTTAACGAATAGTAGGATAAAAAGATTTTGTTTTATAAAGGATTGTCGTTTTCCTACAACAGGAACTGAAAAATTGGCTGGACTCAGCGGACCACGGATTAGTATACTTCACGTTAGGCTCGTTGATGGCCATTGAAAGCCTACCAAGGGAGGCCCTACTAGCGTTTTACGCATCGTTCGCAAAAATCGCACCGGTTAAGGTTCTAGTGAAATGTTCGAACACTACCAAACTGCCTCCCGGTTTACCGAGCAACGTGATGACGCTACCCTGGATCCAACAGATTGCTGTATTGAGTAAGCGAAAAAACGTTCCTACGTATCCTGAAATTCTCAGTTTGCGAGCAGAAAAGTTTTTAATCTATTTTTGCATGATGCTCCTTAAAATTAAAATTTCTTGGACCGTCTCTCTTTATACGTCTCAAAGGAAATTAAATGAAATGTCATCGCTGAGGTGCCGTTGTTTAATTTACCGGATAAAACAGGGCGGAATTAAAAAATCGTCCGACGTATTTCTCGCAGGGCATAAAAATACACGGGTATTCATAACGCACGGCGGCCTTATGGGAACCCAGGAGGCACTCTACTACGGAATTCCCATGATAGGGATACCTGTGTTCTATGACCAGACAAAGAACGTGAGGATAATGATCAACAAAAACATGGCCTGGATGCTGAACCACGAAAATATCAACGAAGAGACTGTGGACGCAGCCTTGAACGCTCTTCTCAAGGATCCCAAATACAGGTGACGATTCTAAAGATACCATCTTTACGTTTTTTTAGCATATAATATATTGCGTAATATTACATACCAATTCGTGGATTTTTCAAAATTTGCACTCTTAAGTGATGGCTGGAACTGCTACTTTTTAACTTTTCATGATCCGATCACGTTCGTTATCAGTCACGGTGATTTTTCAGTGATTCGTGATTTTCGTGATTGCTGCTGATTCTTTGAAAATTTGCCATTTGCACGCCTCACATGAACACTTAAAACGATAGAAATTTAATAATTCTATCTTAACGAATAGTAGGATAAAAAGATTTTGTTTTATAAAGGATTGTCGTTTTCCTACAACAGGAACTGAAAAATTGGCTGGACTCAGCGGACCACGGATTAGTATACTTCACGTTAGGCTCGTTGATGGCCATTGAAAGCCTACCAAGGGAGGCCCTACTAGCGTTTTACGCATCGTTCGCAAAAATCGCACCGGTTAAGGTTCTAGTGAAATGTTCGAACACTACCAAACTGCCTCCCGGTTTACCGAGCAACGTGATGACGCTACCCTGGATCCAACAGATTGCTGTATTGAGTAAGCGAAAAAACGTTCCTACGTATCCTGAAATTCTCAGTTTGCGAGCAGAAAAGTTTTTAATCTATTTTTGCATGATGCTCCTTAAAATTAAAATTTCTTGGACCGTCTCTCTTTATACGTCTCAAAGGAAATTAAATGAAATGTCATCGCTGAGGTGCCGTTGTTTAATTTACCGGATAAAACAGGGCGGAATTAAAAAATCGTCCGACGTATTTCTCGCAGGGCATAAAAATACACGGGTATTCATAACGCACGGCGGCCTTATGGGAACCCAGGAGGCACTCTACTACGGAATTCCCATGATAGGGATACCTGTGTTCTATGACCAGACAAAGAACGTGAGGATAATGATCAACAAAAACATGGCCTGGATGCTGAACCACGAAAATATCAACGAAGAGACTGTGGACGCAGCCTTGAACGCTCTTCTCAAGGATCCCAAATACAGGTGACGATTCTTAGATTCAATACATGTATAGTTTCATTCTAATATCACGTTATAAATTACAGAAAAAGAGATATTAAAAGAACTAATGATTACTTTTAGGGAATCTGCGAAAAGGAATTCTAGAATGTTTAGGGATCGGCCAATGAGCGCAAAAGAGACGGCGATGTACTGGATTGAATATGTGATCAGAAATGGACCGGATAGTCTGAGATCACCCGCAGTGGTTTTACCCTGGTGGAAACGGAAGATGCTCGACGTGTTCGCCTTTTTAATAGTCTGCTTCGTTCTCGCTATTATCGTTTCAGTACTCCTACTGGGAATTTTATTCAAGGCTTTTTGTAAATATAAACGTGACAATGAAATGGAGAAGAAAGTGAAATAAGAGACGAAGAAAATTCACGTCCTTTTTCAAAATACAGTTAAAAAAGGCGAAGTTCATAGTCTCTCTTTTAGGAGACGTATCACGTTGTATTAAATTAAAATAAACTGGATATAGT